GCAAAACCCGAATACTCATTAAAAATCATGTAGCTTGCCAATCGGGAGTAACATGAAAGATACGGCGCCAATAATTGAATTGCTGTTACGGTACACTGTTTCTAAACTTAGATGGTCATTCCTTAATTAAATAGCCCACCAGCGGCCGAGCGGTAAAGACGCTGAACACTGGTAGTTCGGTCCGAGGTTCGATTCTCGCGAACGGACTGGCCGCATAGGTGTTTTCGTGTTTTTTCCCATAAGTTATATGTATACGAGCCAGTTTGCCTTAGAAAATCCTCCACGAAGTCATCCCTCCATTTAGGCAGATAGCCCTCGTGTGCTTTGCCATAATTAAATAATTCAATCCAATCCAATCCTTAATTAAATATAATTGATTTGTAACTTCTACTAGAACTGACGGTAAGAATTGAAGTGCAAATAAATAATATCGTGTGCAATCTTGATTAATATAAAATTAAAAATACAGTCAAAAGTCGTTAATCCGGACTCGTCGGGACTTCGGCGATTCCGGATTATCGATTTTCCGGATTATAGATCATCAGTTTAAATCTCGTAAGATGCATGCAAATTCTAAATTAAAAATATGAAACCGTAATTTATGAAATAAAGAACAAATGATCTAAAGGGTATCAAAATTTGCGAAAAGAAAAGCTTAATATTTATTGTTTACTTTTAAACATTTCTTTCAATGTAAGTTGTTTAAGTTTTGCTTCGTTTCATGTGATAATACTTTCTCTTTAATTCTATTAAACAGACATAATTTCTTGTTCAGTTACAGAGTTCCGCTGTTCAAGTCCTATAATTGCTGGTCGAGAACATCGACTAATTTGTCATCGAAATTTTTTCGTTTTCATAACCTCTGTACTCTCTTCGCTATCGAAGCGAATTATAATGACGAGGAACTTGTTTTAAATCATATCAAAGACGGAGCATATCGAGATGAAATACTACATTTGGTAAGGAATTATAGCCAAATAAAATAAAACATCTGCGCGAAGATAAGGATAGTGCTGAAATCAACTTCCAATTCATTACGCGCCCGCCGCTGCGTTCCCCCCGCCGAGCAGCGTGAAATTGATAAACAGATTTCGGATTTCAAAACCTACTTTCGCTTTAGATCCTTACATATTAACAAATATATATCGGAAATTCTATTTGATATAATCAAAAGTTTAAGCTTACTTTTATAAAATGCTCTTACAGTCTGCAAAAAATAATAAGCCGGATCCAATTCGAAAATTAAGGTACAACGCAATCATCAACATTAACTGAAATGATAATTAGATAATTTTAGCTTATACGTCCATTATACTAAAACGCGCACGTGAAAACGTATTCTGCACTGCGCACACTCCATTCGCAGTCTAAAAGTCTTACGCGCACGCGTAAACGCCTATGCGCATGTGTCAACGCGGCGCATGCGCAGAAAGTTTTTATTTTGAGGTCCGGATTATAGATCTTCCGAATTACGGGTGTCCGAATTAAACGACTTTTGACGTATTTGCATTCAGACAGAAAAGGTTTTTGCAATATTTGCAATTACTTTATAAGAAGGATTTATTAATAACGTAATAATTACTTATTATATTACTGATGATTAGGATTCAGTTCTTGACATTAACATCTAGTTAGAATTTAAGGATATAATGAAACTACGCTACGCTAGCACAAAAATACATTTTAGGATAAAAATGAGTTGATTTTTATGTTTTAAAACTTCTAAGTTCTTATAAACATCGTATCCTCATCGTAATTGAATCCAAATGTTGGGTGTCATTTATATAATTATTCTACTTGTCCACAGATCTGCTGATTATCCAGCCATTAATATGCAGCTCATTTCTACATACAATTGAACTTCCATTAATTCAGTCTTTAGAGGCTGTATGTTTATATCATAATTTGACTTTTATAAAAATGATTATTCTAAATCTATATTTCTATAAAAATATGATGATAGTATCAGCGCTCTTTCAGCACTTCAAAAGCAAACAGTTGTTTAGAAATATTATGCAGTTAATGTCATAAAATCAAATAAACATCAAACGAAAATTCTCAGTTTTAGACAATTCAATTTAAACAAGTAAGTAGCACGATAAAACGCCGAAGGTAAAAATTTATTCTTACAAAAATTTACTCTTATTTAAAAAAAAAAAAAAAAAAAAAAAAAAAAGATAAGAGAAATTTAAAAAATAGTTAAAAATTTGAATAAATTCATCTACAATTAAAAAAAAATAGCTTTTCTATAGTATTAATAAATATTTATTACGTATCATTGAGGGAAAAAATGTCATGTAATTAATTCGCCGTAAAATTTTACTTGAAATTTAAGATTAAAAATAGCTGTGGCAATTCACTGTAACAAAATTCCATAGACCACATTTGGCATTATTATCGCTTAAACAAAAGATGCCAAATTTCAAAACGCGAAAGTACGTAAATTCGTGTATATCTTAGAAAATTTTGAATAAAAAAGTCTAATTTTTTGCAGATATGCTTAAAAATACACCTACTTTAAGATGATGGTAAAAATTTCATAGGTTATAATACAAAATTTTTTTCGAAAAAAATTTATAAAAATTATTTAAAAATAGAAATTTAAAAAATAAAACACAAAAAAATGGGTAAATTTTATTTGAAATGAACCTAAATTTTCGAAATGTGAGAGAAAAAATCAAAAAAGTTTAATAAAAAAGAGATATAATAAAATATTTGCCAAATTCAATTAACATTGAGGAGCTAAAATTTTGAGAGCTAATATTTTAAAAACTACTCGTATGATTTTTACAAAACTTGGCATTCTGGCATAATTTGAGTCGTAGAATCGAAACGTGGAAAAAATTGGTATGTTAGTTCAGAAAAAGTCCAATTTTGTGTCAAAATACCTATGTTAGAATAGTGTTGTATATAAATCGAATATATATCCTAAGTCGCGCTTTCGAGACATGAAAAACGCAGTTTGAATTTTGTCAATCGGCCCAGTAGAATGAGAGATATAGCACTGTCCCCCCCTTTTTTTTTTTACATAGTGTTTATCACAAGACCAGATATCACAACTTCAACTCGCATACTTTAGATTTAATAATAATACTTCTGCTATTATCCCATACTTTAGATATTAGCAGAAGATTTAATAATCAATCTCAAAAAGACTGGAATGCTATAAAAAGAGTCATTAGATGTTTGAATACAACAAAACATCTATCTCTAAATATTTTGTAGAGTAAAGAACCTAGTCTTACAGTTTATTCAGATGCTGAATGGGGACAAGATATTGAATACAGAAAATCCACATCAGGAAGTGTAATTTTATTAGACAGAAATTGTATTTCATGGTTTTTGAGATAACAAATGTGTGTCTCTTTACCCTCAGCAGAAGCTGAATAAATTGCTCTCTCACAAACCACACAAGAATCATTGTGGCTGTTAAAATTAACAGAAGATTTAAATCTACCTCAAATTTTACTGATAAACATTTTTTTAAGATAATCAATCAACAAAACAAAACCTGTGGAATCTAAAAAGTATAGTTCACATGCAAAACACATAGACACAAAATTTCATTATATATGCGGCTTGCATAACAAAAGAATCATAAAACTGACTTAGCTTTCAACAGAGCAAATGGTTGCTGATATTATGACTACCTATTCTTAAAGCTAAACTTCAATTTTGCAGGAATCAATTACAATTGGTATGAGTTTCATTGGCAATATCAGAATAAATTAGTGTCACTTTTGCATAATAAAACTTGACAACGTCAAAAACAAGTGCCAAAAGATATATCAGTAAGAGAGTATTCTATTTATTTCTTGACTGCAGAAGTTAAAAGATTTTATACTTGTGCATTCTTTTTCAGCATATTAACTTCATTTTTTGAATATATTCCTGTTTATTGTTAATTTTATAATTAACAATAAACAGTTAAAGAAGGCAATTAAAACTTATTTATAAGTTTTAATTGTAATCTCAAGTTCTTTTTTCAATACTTCAATTTAAATATTTTGTAAAGACTGCTAATTTTGATTTGTGTTCTATTTGAGCTAAGCCAACTCTCTAACTTGTTAAATAAAGATTTCATAGTTATTCTAACTTATGATTCTTTAATAAATCTGTGCTAAATAGACGATAGTGTATTTAAATGCTTTAACTATGCTAAACACATGACATAAAAAAAATCCTCTAATTCAAAGTGGCTGGAACAAACTGTATAAAATATAATTATAAAAATAAGAATGAAAAAATAAAAGCAGCAATAATGGTTAGAAGCTTGCAATTATATGGAAAATTGTTTGTAACCAAAAACATATGCATTTCTTCGAACCTTATTTAAAATTGACCAATGGAATTAAAATTAAAAAAATGTATAAGTAAATAATTACTTATACATTTTTTTTTCAAATCCAAAAATAAAATAATGTCAACATAAAAGCAGCTGAGGAAGAAATGGCATCTTGCTAAGCCAAATAAATCTAGTATTGCAATAAAAAAAAAAAAAAAAAAAAAAAAAAAAAAAAAAAGAAAAAGAAAAACAGCACTATATATATATATATATATATATATATTAATTACAACCTTTGATTTGTTGTTTCAATGTCCTTTTTCTCCACTGTTTTGATAACAGTAGTCTCACTATAGCAATTGGATTTCACTTTACTGCCTAATAATTCATTGAAAATGAAGTATTTAAGATGCAGATGAATGAAATGCAGAATTACAAATCATTTTTGTCAAAGCCTCTGAATTCTGTGATGACACATTTAGAATTCTATTGCAGCAGAAGATGCAGGGAATATCGAATTTTCTTTACGAGAACAGTGCATTTATCACTAGGAGTATACATATTTAAAAGTGAAGTAACATGTTAATTTCAAAACTATAATTATAAGTTAATTACTAAATATTAGCTATTAAATTAGCATAATTATTTTACGTGAAATTACTTGAATTTATCAGACAATTTTTCACCAGATCTATTAACAGAAAATGCAACACAATTCTGAGATATATGCATTTTATTTACGAAACGAAAAATACAGCTAAATAGATCCAGACATCACTTTTCGCATTACAAGTGATAGGATTGTCTGAAAAGGATCTTTTACATAGCATTGATTTTGTAAGATTACATGGTATGTCTTCATATCTCGCATCCTATAAAAGACAAGAGCAGGTCATTTTTAATTATGTAATTTTCAAAATTTTATAATTTGAAAATGAATACTTATATAATAACCAACTGAACAAAAAAGACACAGAATCAAAATGAAAAAAAAAAAAAAAAAAAAAAAAAACTTGCAACTAAATATTTACAAAATACACTACAAATTTATGTTAAATCCCTGCCCACACCATAATGCTTCCACCACGAAATGCGTGATCTTCAGTGATGTTTTGTAATTGATTGCATGTTCGTTGTTCACGTCATATCCTTATACGCTTCTCATCTGGCTCCAGAGCAAATCTTGACTCATCAGTAAACATGACATTGCCCCAGTCAGACTCATTCCAATTGACATGTTCCCAGCACCACTGTATTTGTGCCCCTCTTGATTGGATGGATAAAGGAACACAAACTTGAGATACCCGGGCGTACAGTTCACTCATATGTAAACTTCGGCGTAAAGTAGCTGCAGATATCGCCTTACCAATGGACGCTGTGACCACAGATGTCACACATGCGGAGGTCGCTCTGCGATTCCGCTTGGCTACAATAGCAATATATCAATCTTCCGTGGGGTTGTAACCCTTGGGCAGCTACGGGCCTTCGGACAACTGTCTGTGTGGTTTGGAATTGTTTCCATAAACGTGAAATTACAGAATGATGAACGCCAAAGAAAAGACCAACATCTGTGATCGACTGTACTGCTTCAATGCACCCCACAGCATGCCAGAATCTTCCATTTGTCTTCTGGAAGTCATAGAAACATGCATGTCTTGAAAACAATTGTATGAAAGTTTTAAACACCTTCTATCAGCACTTACAATCAACTTCTGTAACCCTTCATAAAGCTGGCTTCTTATAAGACTGCCTTTTTTGCATATTTCTTGACATGAAAGCATGATTGGCTGTTACCTAACATATTTGCATACTTCCATCTACCTCTGCAGTCAATTGCATCCTCTTCAATTCCGATTGGCTTCCGGAAATTAGCATTTTCTTCTCCGTGCTTAACTTTTGGAAGTGAGTGTATTTGGTAACTAAGTAGATTCACATATCATGATGGGTGCAATAAGATTCACATATCATGATGGATGCAATATGCTCCCGCACAATTCTGAAGACTTACATTCTCTAAAAATAGAGACCAAGCAGAGTAGCAAAGCAACGTGTATAAGCAGCAGCAAGTGACGTAGTGAAAAAAGGGTATACAGTTAGCAGCACTAGGCATTTAAAGTAAAATTTTGTTAATCTGATTGGAAAAGAGCTGTCACACTGCAACATAATTGCATAAGACATGAAATGTATTAATTTGGCACACTTTAGATTCATATATTGATATTTTTAAGACAGGATGAGGACACAGCCAAATTACAGTATTAAAGTTTCATATTATCAGAATATACCATGAAACATGGCAGAACCTGTTCACTTTAATGAAGAAGGAATCGAGGAATCCTTTATCTACAAGCACTTTTTTTTCTTTTATTAACAATTTAATTTCATACTAATGCTTTTAAAGCTGCTCCTGCGAACAATTTTTTTTGGGGGGGGCGGGGTTTCATAGTTGACTTTGCTACACTCTTGAATTGACGAACGTTTTCATAGTCATCAACGATTTTTTTATTTATTAGTCCAAAGGGGCTTTGTCCCTGAAGAACTATTGCTTTCATTTTGCAATTTGCATCAATTCACTATAAACGCTGAATCACTTTTCAAACTGTTACCACAAAGTATTATCGCCCCGTGTTTCGAATTTTAAATGACGTAATCCTCCTATGAATATGGGCATGTGGAAGATCAAATTTGGAATTTGTTTTATTATTGATTTCATATTTTGTCAAACTTTAACAAATTTTTGAGTAACATACTCAACAATTTAAAAGCGAGCAATGGCAACACTCTGCGGGGAAGGGAAAACCTTTTTATCTCCAGCATGCGGAACTGTGTATCAGAAATTCTAAAGATATGCTCATTTTAAAATTATTTTGCGACATTGCTATTGAACTGAATTTTATAGTTTAAGTGTAAAAAACATATTTAATAAAAAAAAGGTAACACACAAAATACTAAAAAAATGCCTCTTTGGACGTAATTTAAAATCTGAATCCTTTTGGATTTTTTTTTTTTTTTTTTCTTTTTGTATTATTTTGGCTTATTTCTAAATCCATATAAGTCTAAATTACAATAATCAACAATCATTTCATGGTTAACATTATTTAAGACAATGGGATGTAATTTAATGGGAAAAACTGATTAAATAATTCTATTTATATGCACGCCTAAAGATAGTGATAACGATTTTTAGAATACAATTTAATAGATTTCTTTATTTAGGAAACCAAGCTTTTATATTAAATGATATAAAACTGTACATAAATTCTGTTAAGAAAATTAATTCAAGCTATTGTTCTGATTAAACTATATGATAAATTATTTTTTCCTTTTAGTTCATTAATTATTTTACGAGTTAAAACTTTTTTAATATTTTTTTATTTATATCTTTTTAGTTTCAAGGACACATTATCAATCAAATTATTCAAACAAGATATTATTTCTCAACAGTGACTAATCACTCTTACTTCCACAATTCTGTTACATGATATCGTTTTATAACAATTTTACCAAAAAAAATCTAAAAATTATTTTAAAATTTCATATGATCTTCATTTAAAAGATCCACCCCCCCTCTCAAATGCTACAAACATTAAAATTATGGGAATTTTAGTTGTTCATTAAACAAAGATATGTGCAAAAAAATCATTTCAACATTAAATCCTAAAACATCAAAATTAAATTTTGAAAATATCACTGTATTGTCATCGACAATTAATGTGTGTGCAAACTTTGAACTCTACAACTTGTCACAAAGCAGGATCATGGGATAAGACAGTGAACCTCCTTTAGTAAGACTGAGAGGAGATAGCACTACCCCCCCCCAAAAAAAATAATAATGTTTTGTGTATGGTGAGACAAAGAATGTATTGTGAATTGTTGCCACCATATCAAAAAGTAAACTATTTCGAAGCAGAAGTTTTAAAGACAGAAATCAAACCAAAGCACCCCAGAACTGACCAAATCCTCTTTCAGTACAATAATGCTCAGCCCCACATTCCAATAAATGTCAAAGACTTAAATGAGTATGGCTAGCATATTTTATGTTATCCCTCTTTTATTCACTACACTATTCGCTCTCAGATTTTTATCTCTTCAGTTTGCTTCAATTTACCATGAATGGCCTTTACTTCTTGGAGAATGCCAAATAACACCTATACAATTTTTTTACAAATAAACTTAACAACCCTTTTAACACCTTCTTGATCGGCATCGCATCTCCCACACCCAGGATTTTTGTGTCCGTAAGGTCGGTGTCGCATGCCATGTGACGAAGTGAAAAATTCCATCTTTGAAACTGAATTCATCGCTTTAAATTCCACAATCATTTTTTGTATTTCTGAATATTGCTAAAAGATAACATGACTAGTCTTAGTTCCTTCACAAGTTTCTCAGTGAGGTTTCCCACCTCGAATATCTGTTATTGAATATCCACACAATATCTGTTAGAAATTTCAAATAAAAAAACATTCAAACTATTTTATATTTATAGCCAATTTTTTTTGATACAGTTAAGCAAAAAAAAATTTTTTTAATTAAATAAATGAGTGTGACTAAATAAAGTTTTGTGATAAATGTGGTTTTTATGCTTTCAGGTCCAAGGCAGGCTGTAAAGCTGTTCTAAAACACTTTTTTACGTAATTTTAATAATTATTTTTATGTAAATATTTATATTAAATGCATTAAAACAATGGCATTAATAAATATAGTATCACATTGTATTTAAAAAAATTTTTTAATTTGGGTGCATTGCAGGGACAACAGGTAATCAGTGAACGGGATATCATACATTTGACCACCCATAGGTCCATCAAAAACTGCTTACTCTAAAAAATATTTTGCATTGCAAATTTAGGATAGAGCATATATTAATTTTCAGCAATTAAAAAATGCTTTCTTTGGGTCAAAAAAATTTTAAAAAAAAAAGTTCTGCAGCTTTTAGATGCTAAATACAAGTAAAGCAGTTCAAAAACATCACAAAATTTCATTGAATCACAAAAGAATCATTTTATTTCATGACTTCCATTCCTTTGGTTGCTGGAAAATTCCTTCTTTTACCTTTTTCTTACAAAAAAAAAAAAAAAAAGAGAGAGAGAGAAATTTTTTTTTTACAACAACTAGACCCCTAAGTCAATAGATCTTATAATAATGCAGTTTTAACAACTACAACAAATGAACTGATTTAGTTTCTAACAACTTGACTCCTAAGTCAATACATCTTATAATCACTTTCCTTGCATGTATACTCAAGGCATTTTATTTCTTTGCTTAAACAATCCACAAGCCTACATGAAACTCAAAATCACACTTGTCAATAAAGAGGTTAAACAAAGTAGCAAAACATATGATAAGAATATGATGTTTAGGTAGTTTAAAGATGGTACATAAAACATTTATACATAAAATTTGGGAAATTTTCCTTTCATTCATCGATTAGTTATTCCTCTGTAAGTTTTAGAAAGAAAAATTAGAAACTGATTAAGCATGCTGAATAACCCTTCATATTAGCACTTATAAAATATGTATGTTATAAGAAGGAATTTAGCAGGGAATTCTGGGATGCACTATAATGTAAACAGCATTAAAACATGAGTCAGTTATCACAAACTTTACTATTTATAATGCACCAATTTCAACTACGTAAAAGAATCATGTATTGCCATTTAATTTGTTATCATGCAGTAAGATTATTTCTTCCCTAGCTTGCTTTTTTGTTGTTCTATTTGCAATATTATTACACATGCTTAGAAAACATGTGCAATAATATTGTAAAATGTAGGGATGCTTACAAAGCAATCCCACATTCTGACAGTTTATGAAACATTCACATGCTAACTGGTAATGCTTAAGTTTTGAACACTAGTAGAATTCTACTGAACAATTTAGGAGACTAATTTGCAGTCATAATTTGAATATCCAAGAATAATTATTGCATTATTTGACATCATGGAAAAAATAGCATATTATAACTTAAAGAAATGTAATTGTACTTGTGCATATAAAATATATTCTATAAAGAAGAATACATACATTTCAACCTGTTGTACTTGAAATGGTTTAGAAGTTCGTGGTTTCTTTTGCTCTACTTCAAGCCTAAAAACAAAAATAAGCATATAACATTAATCAGGGATATTCAACAGATCAATATTTTCCCTTAAACTATAAGATATAATTGGTCTTTTAAATGTTAAGTTACCTCTCCTTTTCACGGCTCTCTAGGGAACACAGAGCATCTTTCATTGCATCATAATTTTCAAGAATAGTCTGTTTTTGCTTCAGATTATCATATTTTTCCTGTAGTAATCTTCTAGTGACAAGCGGTAAAGCTATAAATACAAAATGCACCATGGTACTTCAGCATGAACATAAATTAAAATATTTATCTTTAAATAATACAGATAAGCAATACGGAATACATATTCAATACTCTTTATAATGGTGGCCTATTATAGCAGTAGCTCCATTAAGGTTTGTACATTGTGCAAGGTTACTCACAGACCTTCACAAACTGTTACCAAATAGCCAGCAGTCCTAACCACAGCACTAACAGTCTTCCCATCATATTAACTCAGAGTACAGCTGCCACTTTGAAGCAGTCTATTAACAAGAGAGCTTTTGCTTGCATTGAAATAACACTGGCTATAATAATAAATAAATATCTGGGGTTCTTTCTCATCAGCTTGCAAAGTAATTGTAACAGGAGTCAACTGTGATCAATAAATTATCTATCAACTTACTTTAATTAAATATAAAATATCTTTTCACCAAAAATCATCTCTGAAATTAATTCATGGTAATTTTAATATTACTTTTTTCTATATGTTACAATTTTGTTTATATTATTTGCTCTTTATTTACTGAAAATGAGATAAAAAAATAGGTACTTCTGTCTTAGCTGAAATCATCAGATTTTCAAAATGCATCAAATTTGGGCACATAATTCGTCCAACAACCATGCAATAACATTTCTTAGTTTTAACACGCAATGTTTCCATTTTCAGATCCATTCTTTTCGTTTTATTACAAGCTCCAATGGTTTTTACTGAAAAATCATGGTATCTTTTGTCTTAAATTCAATTTCAAAATATGCACTGGCAAGACTTGTTTACAATGGAAGGAACTGCAGCAAAATTTCTACAAGACTACAGTATTTTGTCCTAAAATCTCTCAAAGGAACCTTTGACTTATTCTTAACCCCCCGAATAACATAACTGCCTTTATTCATCATGAGATCTTTTATCATTTCTGCTACATTAGATTATAATTTAAAATATTTTGCTTTCTTACTTTAAGAATTTGAATATCATCTTAATGAATGGAAGTTTATGAAAATAGAGACAAAAAAAAGCAATTAAAAAATTTAGCTAAAGCAATCATCACAAAACTTCACCAGAATAATATATATATAAATCAATTATATGTAATATTTATTACTTGATTTTTAAAATGACTACTTGGATACATGGAGTAATTTTTTTTTTTTTTTTTTCTTTTGTAAAGAACCATCATTTTGCAAAGAACTTAAGTGTGGCAAATCAATTGTACTAATATGGAAGTATTGAAAATTTTTTTTAAAAATTGAAGAAATTTTTCAAACATATCAATACAGTAACCTTAATATTTAGTTTGCGAGAATATCAATTTATGTAAAAAATTTACCTTATCTATCAAGCTATCTGCTTTTTTATACTGACTATTTAAAGCCTCTTCCTCTCTCTGAAAATTATTCAGACAGCAAAGCATTATGTCACCAAAATAGGAAATACATGATGCCACCAAAATGTATTTATGCTGTAACCCACATACACACACGTATGCACAGTAGACAAGGGCTGATTTCCATCTTTGATGGTCATTTTTCAGATTAGTCTTTATTTTTATTGCATTCGAGTACATATTTTTTTTCTCTTAAGGAATGAATCATAATGGGACTATGAGTTTTCTGGATGATAAAAAAGGTTTTCCCATCATCCATTTCATCAGAAATATGACATTTTGTTCAATAGTCTCTACTATTGAACAAATGCAAAACATTCTCATTCCACGAAACTGCAAGATCAAAATTTGTATGCTGATTTTGAATTTGAGCAAATCTCTGGTGTTTTTAAGTGAAAACAGATTGCTGTATACATGGGGAGAATCAACTTGTGCATGATGCTGAATTTCTGCAGTTTCTTCATGTTTCTTGAAAGTGAAACAGATCACTGTGTACATGGGAAAAAAAGTGCCCCAATCAAAAAAAAAGATAAGTGTTTTATTATGGATGTCTCTTGCATTTTAAAATTTTGTTAATTGGCTGTTGTTTTATGTAACTGTTGGACTGCAGGTACTTTTTAAATGGCTATTTTCTTTTGCAACCTAGTTTCGAGAAAAATTGATAGCAACTTTAAGGCAACTTTTCAGGAAGACGGTGAAGATATATGAAAACTGCTATTTTTTTAAGAATATAGAACTGAAACAAAATATGTTAAATGATGGTCAAAAATGCTTTCAATAGCATTAACTATCAGCATTACATTATGCTGACAATTATGTGAAGTAATGATAATAGACAACAAAATCTATAATTGAGTGATTAAAACAAAATATCATCATGGTATCCAAGAATATTAGTTTAGCATAACAATTAATGTTATTGTAGTCATTTCCTACATTCCCGTAACACTGCATTAAATATGCCTCAGAATTTAATACCATGTTTATTTGCCTCTTGTAAAAATAGGAAAATGACACAATGTTCTCTTGTAATAAAATTTTCTGCAAACTATGCTTAATAGTTTATCAGAGAAGAAATTAAAAAATAAACATTTATTAAATCTCCTTTTAGAATTCACTTAAACAGTATAAAAATTTACTAAATACTTGCATTCTTTCTGCATTTTCCTCCTAAGATTTTTTAAAGTTTTTTTTGAAGGACTTTTCTTTTCAGGTTCTACATCTAGTAACTTCTGATTAAAAATATTTGAGGAAATAGGAACATTTCGAAAAATATTGCTATTTACAGCATCAGCCTAAAAAATAGATAAATGATCACATTAGTAAACATACGAGTAATTTAATAATATTAAAAAAAAACTACTTCATTAAACATACATATAAATTAACATAATAATATAGTGATTATAAACAACCAGATTTACTATAGGTCACAATTAGGTATTTTTTTAGGAATTGTTCTAAATAGATATATAAATAGAAAAAACAGATACTTTTCAGTTAACAAACCACCATTTGTTATAAAACATAGATGTTGGTGCACAATCTAACTAGAAATAGGAATGGCAACCTTAACAATAAATACAGCTTCATGAAAAAAGTGGCTATTTTATTACATCCAAATTAACCCCCCCCCCGGAAAAAAAAGACAAGCATAAAAATTTACATTGACAGTTGAAGGTCAATTCTATTAATATAAATTCTTGACACCAGAAGTAAATAAGCTAAATAGCTATCAAGATAAAGAATGCATGAACCTCTGAAACAGCAACCACTTTGTAAACCATTCTTTTCCAAGGTCATATTGGTGCTCCAGTGATAAGAAAATATAATTTCATTTTTCAGTTTTTCAAACAAAGGCCTTTCAGCATGGATGATACATTTGCCTCAGAATTTAATTACGACATTTTATCATTTAGTAAGTGCCAAATCACATAAATTTACGGGATCAATGTTCATAATTTCCACTTGCCCGATATCACTGCATAGTTACTCAACAAATGAAATAAAAAGGGTATCACATTTGACATATTAGTGTACAGTTATGATTGGTGCCCCATCAACCAAATAGTACCATAAGAAATATAGCCAAATTTTAAGACCACTACAATATTTCTGCTATTATGCAAATTTAATTTATTCAATTTGATTAAATTTACCATCCTATTTTTATCTTATTTAAAATATTATTATGCAAATTAAAAATATTTCATCCTTTTTAATTGCGAGATTTCAAACTGCATAACATTCAGCATATAAAACGAAGTTTAATAGGTTTTTTTTATTTTACCACTTTGGTGACCTTCTCAAGGCATCTCATAAAAATATCCATAATCATCCACGTTGTTTTACTTTCTTCTTAACGCAATGACAAGATTTTAACACTACTAAAACATCCTGCTCTTTGTGACTGTCCTAGGACTATCCTTTTCCATCAATATTTGCACGGAATAAAATAGAAAAATGATCTTTGCCTTTTTTGGCATATATACTGAATAGAATTAAAGGCCTAGCTTCTCAAAGACATGGATGAAGGACACATATTTAATCAATATTAAAAACATTTTTCAACTGATACCTATTGATTTCTTTTTATAAATTCTCAAAACAGCTTATAAAACAAACAAACAGGGATAGAAAATAAGTGAATGCTTCGGTTTGAGATGTATGCCAAGTAGATACTCAGCTACGGAGCCAAATTATTAATCTCACAAATTTATACTTACATGATTGTTTTCCATAACGAGGTACTTTATTTAGTGCCTAATTGAAATTAAGAATCCGAATTTTTAAGAACAAATCTTCACATGTTTTATTATAGAAGGTAAAATAAAATGCGCATGCGTAAAGCATTAATAAAAAAAATGTTTGTGGCTTTGAGGTCCAGATTTTAGATCATTAAGGATAATGGACATCCGGATTTTGGACTTTGTACTGTATAATCTTTCTTCTTTCTTCCCTATTGCTACTAATGAACTATTGACATCATAAATTTTACAGAACTTTTCTTTTGAAACTATTTTATGATTATCCGTAATCTTCGAATAATTTAATAAATTTGCTTTCATTTTTTTTTACATAAAAAATTCAATGTTAAGATTGATTCAGAGTTATATACAGGAAAAGAAACTACAGTCAAAAGTCTTTAATCCGGACGTCCATAATCCAGAATGATCTATAATCTGGACCTCAAAAATACAAACTTTCTGCGCATGCGTAAACGAATTGCATGCGCATATGTGTTTTACGCATGTGCATCATACCTTTACGCATACACATATGCGTTTACGAATTCGCATAATACGTTTATGCGTGCACGTTTAATGTATAACAGATAGTATAAGCTAAGCTAAAATTATCTATGTCTGTTAATGTTGCAGATTGCATTGTTCTTTAATCTTCTAATTGGATCCAGCTTTTATTTTTTTGAGACTGTTAAAGCATTTTATAAATGTAAGCTTGAACTTTCGATTATGTCAAAAAGAATTTCGGATTCTGGAGCTACCAAAGGATCTACAAAGCGAAACCATGTTTCGATGTCCATCAAACAAAAAGTAGAATTGCTGCAAAAAATGGATAAAGGTATATCCTTTGTTTCTCTTACCATTCTGAAATCTGTTTATCAATTTCACGCTGCTCTGTGGGGTGGGGGGAAATGTCATGGCGCACAATGAACTGGAAGTTGATCTGTCAGCCAGTGACGTAAATAAGGGTATGCAAGGAATGCCGTCGCATAGGGGCCTGAAAGCTTAGGAGGCCCTTAAATGTCCTGCTGAACTGAAGCTTGATGTATTCCATTACATATATATAGAAGCTTTAATTCATTTTCCCTTGATGAGTTTGAAATTAGAATTTCAATAAAAGAAGATTAATTTTTTTTTTTCTCTTTTGCTTTTTATTTTTATTTTTAGAATTTGTACTACTATAAATTCTTATTTTAATTTTGATATGTTTTGATTGTGTTAAACCCCTTTTACACAATTGTTAATATTAAAATAGTTGAGGAATAGCCTTGATTTGACTCCAATTTACTTTTAACTGCTTTAAGTATATGTAGATAATAGAATTCGTTTTCTTTAAGTTTTTAAGGGCCGCCTACCTATATGGTGCAGTAATGCAATTCTCTGTATGACGCAGATAGGAGGCCCTTGGAAGCCCCCTGAAACAGCTAAATTCAAGTGTTTGCAAAAGTTAAAATTTCAGCATTTGACTATGAAATAATAACTTCATGACCTACCCCAGTTTAGGGATAGCAGTGAGCGGAAAATAGGAAAAGTTTCTTTGTATTCCTTAGTCTCAAACCTGAAACTTATTAAAGGCGACCCCTAAAGGAAAGGTTTCTCCTTCTGCAATCCCAAATCAAAAAGCGGTGGAAGTGGAAATGAATTGTAACTATTTATTTATAAAGTACTTATTTTACATATTAATTTGTTTCTGTATAATTCACATTATGATCGATTAATCAGTAGATATATTTTCTAAGTATAAATCAAAGAAGTAACTAGGCAGGATTCTGGTACTTTGGAATGAACTTTGCAAGTTAAGAGAAAATCGTGGTATATTATTTGAAGTTCGTAATTTTCATAATATGTCATTCCAGTAGCGTTTAATTTTGTTCATATATTGAATCTCTTACTAGCTTTTCCATTAAACGCAAATCCAAAAATCAGTCCTAATATTCAATTTGAAATTGAATTTATCAATGTGAATGATTCTTAGAATTTAATATGACATGTATTTCGTTGGTTCGCTATAAACGGCATATAACTTTTCAAATTGTTGCCACCAAATAACCTCACCCTATATTAAATAAGGAAGGATCTGCATGTTTGAATGTATAGTTCTCACAATGTAAAAAACAATGGTACTCGCAACCTGTGCAGTCGCACCAAGGGGCAAGGTAAGCGACAGAAACATTTTGGATTTTAGAAGCACGATTGACATTACAAAATGGCAAAGTTAAAGGCAGATCGATTTTTTTCTCTCTTTTTTTACACTAATAAGCTGGAGGGAGGGAATCATTCGTAAGTATTAAATGCTAACTCCAGAATACATGCTTTTCTTTCTTAAAGATACAAAATCATTGACGTAAGTTGAGCAGTTGTGGCATAAAAGGACTTTGCCCCACCCCATGTCGAAATGCAGTTCTAGTCCAGAAAACGCAAAGAATTTATGGCACCACATTTGGAAAGGAGAGATTTCCCGTTCGACTTAGGGATCTTTGAATGAATTCAAGGTCCGAAAAAAAGCGGGGGACAGGCTACGAACACAGATGCTCAAACATTAAGCGACTAAACATTTCAGTTAATTTCCGGCATATATTTAATGAAATTTGTTTCATTAAATTTATCGAAATTCATTACTTTTTCACTCATGGGGGTAGGAAATGGAATGGATGAATATTTTTACTTGAAATAATGAGTAAATAAATATTTATCCAATTTTTCATATCAAAATTTTCAAAATATTTTCACATTGCAGATAAAATGCAGGTCAAGGATTCTTTAAAATCCCAAATCGAGAATTAAATCTGAAAGCACAGAACTCGTTTGAGGATTTACTTGATTTGCTTTAGAAAAGAGAAGAGCTGTAGTGTTTCTTAACTTGTAAATTACCCATCTACCAAAAATTCACACTTATCTGCAAAGATAATTCTGAAGACATTACATTTGTTTTGAAAGTAATATATTAATCTCTCTTCGTTTGAAAAAAATATAATAAATTACAATTTTTTTTAACGTGAAACATTTAAGCGTATAATTGAGTAGTGCGCAATAATCTATACGTTATTTAAACGGAATTGAATTGAATTATTATATAATAATAAAGCACTCGAGGACTATTTGCCTAAGGGGAAGAACGCCTTCATTGTCGTTATTTGAAAAGAAATTTTACATTTACTTTACTTTTGCTTTTAATTTACTTTCCACAGCATTTAGTACATGAAATCATCTATAATAGTATATTAATGATAATAAAAATGGCATCACACAACTAAAAGTATATACTACTTCATAAATTTCGATAAATTAATTACTGAAAATATTAAACATATCAATGGCAGTGCTGCCCTAATAGTTTTCAGTTGCATTTCAACATCTGAAAACGCAAATTACATTGCTATTTTTACTACACAAACAAATGGAATATTTCAGAAAAGAATTCTCCCCCGTTAATGCAATATTTCAATAATTTTTGCAAATTAAAAAATTTAATTAATATGTTTTAATAGTAAATGATGCGATTTTCACTCATAAAATCCCTTTGTACATTATTCTCTTTCATTTCGGCATCA